TACGGAAGAAATATGGCTTCCCTGGAATTTCAGAATAGACAACCCGAGTCGGAGCTAAAAGAGGAAAGGGGGAGAAGACTATTCTCAAACAGCGGTTCTCCAAGTGTGGGCTGGGGGCCCAGAGCTGGGTTCTTTGGGACCTCTCAGGAGTCCACAGGGCCAAATGTGTGTCTATGCTCGCACTAAGACACGACTTCCCGTCCTGCCCGTCACTACCTGGAGCTCTCCACAGGCTCCCTCTGTGACAGCAGAACAGGAGGCAGGACAGTCCTCTACCTCTCACGCCAGACGTTACAGCCGGGCGAAACACGCAGCAATACCTCTCTTCCCAGTGGGGTTTTTAATTTTCATATAAATATTATTTGCATTGATGTGTAATGGGAATTGTCATCATTAGGTGAATTAATGAATATTGTAACAATTCCAGGTCTGACTTCTATCAGAACATAGACACAGCCTGCCCTGCAGCTCTCTGGACTCTCCACACCGTGAGGAGTGCAAAGGTTAGGGCGCTGCTGTCCCACAGGAAACACCACATCCAGATGACTGTGGGTCAGGCAGGCTTTGTAAGTGGATGTACTGGGGGGGGGGGTCCGTCTTTTAAGCGTGGTGGCCCAGCAGGGGGCGACTCTGTGCACCAGGAGACATCCCCAGTGTCTGGGATCCTTAGTTGCTACTGGTGTCTGGTGGGTAAGGCCAAGGATGCTGAGGAGAACCCCACAAAGTACTGGACCCCAAAAAAGGATCAGGCCTCACATGCACACGCTGGGCCTGGGATTGCTGGGCCAGCCTACAGCACGGGACGGCAGTGGGAGCGAGGATGCGGTGGCTTAGAGAGGAACCCACTGCTTCTGCGCAGCCCCAGGACAGCTGGCCCAGGGCAGCACCTCCTGAAGGTCAAGGCTGGGACCCACGGCGACCCTCCTGTCTGCAGCGCCACCCCTCTCCTGCACAACCTGCTCTGGGCACCTCTCACACCTGTGCTCCAGCCACCTCTCCTCACACCCGCCCCACCCACCTCTCCCCACACCCAGCCCCTGCACACCTCTCCTCACACCCGCCCCCCGCCCACCTCTCCTGCACACCATGCTCCAGGCAAGGCCCACGGGGAGGCTGGCAAGACTGAACCAAGACCAGGCAGTGACAAGCATGGACCCCTATTTCCTAGATAATAATTACATATGAATTTCGAATTTCAAGAGATTTCTGAAGTACTGCTTCTCTCGGGTTTCACTGGAGTTCAGCTCAGGGCTGTACGGACACGGTTGGGACGAGGAGGAAGCCCAGAGCTCAGAACGGAGCCAGACAGCGGCTCTGCTCTCTGGTGGAGGAGTGGGGGCTCCACCACACCCCGTGGAAACCACCTCCACGGCCCTCCTCCAGCGCACTTATGGTCCACAGCCACAGAGAGCACCGGAAGTGAAACACAAACAAACCAACCCAGACAGCTTTCATTAAAATGTTGTTTCTGTCAACACATCCTGGGTATGTTAGACAGACTTTCAAAATTTCAGCCTTCACTTGTAAGAAACTACACCACCACCTAGCACCCTGTACGTCAGGCCAGACCGGAACGGATCACAGGAGGAAAGAGGCTGTGACTGAAGGTGTCACGCAGCCAGCAGGTCCACATGAGGGCTGTCCAGCCCTGTCCGCAGCCGTGGCTGCTACACAGCAGCACTATGGAGTCGCACATGCAAAACACGTGGCCAGAGAACACAAATTTGCTCAAAACAATCACTTTAAAAAGGCATTAATGCTTTTTAAAATGTAACTTAGGACCCAGTACACAAATTGGGAAAACGCAGCAACACCCTCCTGTGGTCTGAGCCTCCAGACGGCAGGGGTCTCAGAGCAACGATGTGGACTCCAAATATTCACCAAGACGCCTCGTCGTGGTCCCGGATCTGTGGGCCCTCACAAGGCCAGCTGCGCAGAAATCCGCTCCCTCGGCCACACACTTGCACGTGGCCCACAGGCCCGCGCCTGGCCTCATTCCTGAAAGATACGCTTGGGGGTAAATCAGCAGTAAGGGCTGGGCAGAGACTTTCATTTCTGGGACACGCGTGGATAAGCAAAAAGTCCAATTTAAGAATTCGAAAGAGAAAAAGAAATACGTATGAACATGTCATTCAAGGAGGAGGTGCTCTAAGAGTACGGCAAGGCCCGCACGGTGCCTACTCTGCTGGATAGTTAGAGACGGCCTAATCGCGAGCTCACCAAGGCCCTCCAGGGACGCGAGACCCGGGCCGAGCGAGGTAAGCCACACCGTTTGCAGCAGAGCAGGAAGCAGCATTTTGACGCCAACCCCTAGGCTGCAACTGCTTCCACTGTTCTCTCCTCCACGACGCCGCCTTCCTTCCTACAAACCCGTGCCAGCGTCCTGCAGCGCGAGCCCCCTGCACGGCCTGCCGGGCCTCGGTGACTGCCAGCTCAGATGTCACGACAGGCCCTCTCCTGCACTTGCTGTCGAGGGCTACACCAACCACGGGCCACACGCTGTACTGTCTCCTCTTACTCCCAAATCCTCCAGCTACGCTGCCCCAGGCAGGTACCTGCTGTACACCTGTCAGGGCTGGGAAGTCGTCCCAACAGAGGCGAGTGCCCAGGGTCACGTGAGCAACTGGCCATCAGGAAGGTGTCATAATCGCCAAAAAGGCTTAAGAGCAGCAAGGGCGTATGAAACCTGTGCACACTGTTCGGGTTAAGACGTTCAAGTTGAGAGCGACACTGAGAGGTGGGACAGTGTGTGTCAGTCACGTGGCAAGTGGGTGGAAGGAACGGAGAAGCGAGCTGGAGACTGAGCAGAGGAAAGCAACAATGAAAAGTCAGGGGCGACTCCAAGTTCAGAGGCTCCCCAGTGTGTCTTCCTGCACAGTGACCTGTTACAAGGCCGTGTCACCTCTGGGAGAAGTACTGAATGGCAACACTTCACTGTCTCTCAGTGCTAACTTCAAGCTCTGTGGCTCCAGCTCGTAGACAGCAGCACTAGAGAAAATACAAAAGGACAGGTGGGCCAGCACACGCAAGGCTCTGCACCCCATGGGTCTCATGTAAGCGACCGTCTAAAAACCCAACCACCTTGAAAACACAAATTTGACCTTTGAACTGTTCAAGGGTTTTTTGTGTTTTAACTTGACATGACCCATCCTTACAGCCAGTCCTTTCTACTGGCACAGGAATAAATGGGACACACATTTACCGACGCTCCTCTGTGACCCGAATGGGTTAGCAAGAGGCCTGGGGAGCAGGAGGAAGTCTCAGCAGTTTTAATGAAAGAGCAACCAACCCAAATCAAATCAAAACAGACAGTGCGCGCACACACTCCTGCAGGATGGCCACATTTCATCCCCAGTAACTGAGTCAACAGCGTGGCACAGCAGCAGGTGGAATCCAAGGCCCCCAGCGCAGCACGGGACTGCACGCTATAAAGAAAGGGCCGGGAAGGGCTGGCACAAAGAACGCCAACTCCCGCTATCCGGGGGACCTTCCAGATGTCTGCTTTTTGGCTCTGAGAGGGCAGCAGATGTGCCGGGACCAACCACCTGCTGAACGGGCGGGAGCCTGGGACCACCAGGGACAGGGCAAAGACAACCACCAGGGACTGGGCAAAGACAACCACCAGGGACTGGGCAAAGACAACCACCAGGGACTGGGCAAAGACAACCACCAGGGACAGGGCAAAGACAACCACCAGGGACTGGGCAAAGACAACCACCAGGGACTGGGCAAAGACAACCTGGGCCTTAGCAAGAGGAAAAAAAAGTCTACTGCAGAGAATCACCGTTTAACTGCGTTTTCCAGACAGAATGTCACTCCCTCGAGTTTGGCTTCTAGGACATTTGCAAATTAGCGTCATCTGTGCTAAGACCAGGGCCTCAATGATCCAGCTGTGGAGACAACTGATGCTAAATTACGCAGCTTCTCCGCTGCCCATGGACCCAAAAGGAGCCATTAGCTCTGCCTGGACCCACACAGCTCTTGGCCCCTTGGCCCGAGGTGCTCTGGCTCCACGACACCCAGCGTCAGGGAAAGCAGTGACTGTGCAAATCGTCTCCAGAACAATCCCAACCCCACCCGGCTCGCATCCGCCAGTTCCTCAGCCGAGCTCAGGAAGCAAAAGCGTCAGAACTGGACAGAGCGAAAGAGAGACCGGAACGGCGATGCCGCTGAACACAGACGCCGAGGCTCGGTCAATCTGGAATATTTAAATCAAGACTATCTGCACGACCCAGAGCCGGCTGAAGAACCAGACACCGAGTGAGAAAGGAGCGAGGCCAGGATACCAGCGGTGGAGGCTGTGCCGGGGGAAAAGCAGCAGAGACAGAGGGAGCCACCTGTGGGCTTGTAGGAGCGGGGACGCCCCGGCCTGAGCCAGCCACAGACCCCACAGGAGCGGGGACGCCCCGGCCTGAGCCAGCCACAGACCCCTCAGGAGCGGGGAGGCCCCGGCCTGAGCCAGCCACAGACCCCACAGGAGAGGGGGCCGGCCTGAGCCAGCCACAGACCCCACAGGAGCGGGGAGGCCCCGGCCCGAGCCAGCCACAGACCCCTCAGGAGAGGGGACCGGCCTGAGCCAGCCACAGACCCCACAGGAGAGGGGGCCGGCCTGAGCCAGCCACAGACCCCTCAGGAGAGGGGACCGGCCTGAGCCAGCCACAGACCCCACAGGAGCGGGGAGGCCCCGGCCCGAGCCAGCCACAGACCCCTCAGGAGAGGGGACCGGCCTGAGCCAGCCACAGACCCCACAGGAGAGGGGACGCCCGGCCTGAGCCAGCCACAGACCCCACAGGAGCGGGGGCCGGCCTGAGCCAACCACAGACCCCTATGGCAGGAGGGCTGCCAGGCCCCTGGCCCAGGGAAGGCGCTTGGACACACACCGCGGTAGCCCAGCCCAGGGTGGGGACGGCCACCGCACACAAGCCGCCGGGCATCTGCGCCCTCGGTGTTCCCACCCGAGCTACAAGTTCACGGCCACAGCGGGCACTTGGGCCAGTTACCTCCGAGTCCAGCGTGTCCTGTCCCTCTTTGGAACTTTTTCCGCTTTTCCCGGCTTTCGGTACTTCCTGGGAAACAAACGCGTCAACGTCAGGTCGTAGAGATGCACGGACACCCTCGACCCCACGGTGCCGACCGTTCCGATCACGCCGCGCCCCCTCCCACGCCCCCCGGCTCCGGACCTGCGGCGCCAACTTCGCGCACAAACAGGTCCGCCCGCGTCCGCTCGGCGCTCCGGGCGCCGCGGGGGCCCCGCCGCACGCCTCCCTCGCCCCTCGCAGGACTCGCGGTCGAGGGCCCCCCGGCCTCCGGGCGCACGCAGCGGCGAGCCGCGGCCCTCAGCGGCCAGGCCGGCCCCGCGCTGCCGCCGCACCTGCCCCGCACGCCCCCACCGGCCAGAGGGAGGACGCGGCGGGAGGCAGGGGGCGGGGGCCAGGCGCCCAGGCACGACCCCTAGGTCCCGCCGCGCCCCCGCCTCAGGGCGGTTCCCACTCGGCCCCTCAGGGCGGCCGGGCCCTGAACTCACTTTCTCCTTCTTGTTTTTATTCGGCATGGCTGGTGCGGGCTGCCGCCGCCGCCCCCGCCGCCGCCTGCTCCCCGCAGCAGCAGCAGCAGCAGCAGCGGCGCCGCCGCCCCGGCCGTCGCGCCCGCCCGGCCACCGCCGCCGCCGCCGCCGCCCCCGCCGCCCGGGGACTGAGTCGTTCGTTCGCTCTCGCTTCCCCTTTCCCAGGCTCCCAGAGGCTGCTGCAGCCGCGGCGGCGGCGGCAGCGGCGGCGGCGGCGGCGGCGGCAGCGGCGGCGTCTCTCCGCCCCTCCCCCGGCCCGCCCCGCCGCGCCTCCCGCCGCTCGCCCCGCCCCGCGCCGGTCCCGCCCCTCAGCCCAACGGCGCCTGCCATTGGCCAGCGCGCCGTCACGTGCCCTAACGCTCTCCCGCGCCTCCCCGCCCGCGCCGAGCTGCCGCCCACACGCCCGCCCCCGTCGCTTGGCCGGCCGGCGGCTCCGGGCCGGGGCCTGGGGGAGGGGTGTGTGCCTGTGACAGCGGTGGCCGGGCTGTGGCCGCTGTGGAGGTGGGCACAGAGAGCGCGGCGAGTGGGTCAGGCGTGCGAAATGCGTGTTTTGAAGCACGTTAACAAGTGCAGCGGGCAGGGCGCGGACGGGCGTCCGCACGCGGCGCACCGGGGGCACCAAGAAGGCCCCGTGGCCACCGAGAAGGCCCCGTGGCCGCGCAAGCGTTGGTTTCACTTGGCCCAGCTGAGCTCTGCCCGCCGGGGTAGTCCCGCCCCTCCCGGGAAGACTCCGCCCACCGGGCCGGCCCCGTGCACCGGCGCTGCTCCCCTGCTCCGCCCAGGGGCGGCCCTGCTCTCCCGGGTTGGCTCCGCCCGCCGCCACTATTCCCGCTAGCCCCGCCCAGGGGCGGCCCTCCTCTCCCGGGTTGGCTGCGCCCACTGCCTCTTCCCAGTAGCCCGCCCAGGGGCGGCCCCGTCTAACCGGGTCGGATCCGCCCACAGCCCAGGGAAGCCCTGCCCCTTTCCGTCGGCTCCGCCCACCGCGGTGCTGTCATGGACCTGCGCCCGTGGGATTTTACTTTATTCTTTAACTGGACTCGGTGATAAGCCACGTGGTGATCAGGAGCCCCGATTTTTCTCAGCTCGCGAATAGGTCTGGGGAGACGAGAGGCTCGAGGGACGAAGTGTGGCTTTGAGGTGCACTGCGTGCCCGCAGTCCGGCTGCCGCCGCCACCTGCGGGGACGCTGACGGCCCGCGCTCGGTCGAGAATGCGGCTCCAGGCGTGGCCGGCCTCGCCGTAGGGGTCGGCGAGCGAAGCGTTTTCCGGGGCTCTCTGCGGTCCGTGATGGGAACGCGGGCTGAGGAGAGAGTCCCGGAGGGGGTAGCTAGCAACCCCCTGTAAACCCGAATCAAGGAGGAGCGGCTGTCAGGAGGCTAAGGGGCAAGACAGTTCTGTGCCGCCAGCCCTGGTGCAGTGCCGCACACGCTGCACACCCTCCGGTGTGCAAAGCTGCTGCTGCAGGTTCCAGCGTGAGCAGGGCCCTGCCCTGACCTCCTGTGATTCGCATGCGTGGATGGACACAGAAAGAACCAGCAGCTGGGAGGGCCTGACAGGTGACAGGTGACAGGTGATGAGGCTGGGGCGGGTGCTCAGGCCGGGGACTCACTGACAGACGCCCCAGGCAGCCAGGAATGCGCCCGAGGGAACAGAGGCTCTGGGTCAAGGCTGGCACGGCTTGCCCAGGAGTGGCACTCTTTTCCGAATGCAGTTCAGGATCACCGAAGGTGGTCAAGCTGGAGAGTGATGTGCTCACGTGCGGCCCGGGCGTGGCAAAGGAGTTGAGGGTGTGGTGAAGGTGGGAGGCGAAGAGAGCAACCCGGAGTAGCCGTGATCTTGGCGCCTGCCCAGGCACTGCGGGAGGAAGCAGCTTCTCCGGCAGAGAGGAGCAGAGCCCCGGGTGAAGTCCAACACTCGGGTGGACGAGGGGGCACGGACGCGCGTGGACAGAGCCCGGGTGAAGTGGACGAGGGGGCACGGACGTGCGTGGACAGAACCCGGGTGAAGTGGACGAGGGGGCACGGACGTGCGTGGACAGAACCCGGGTGAAGTGGACGAGGGGGCACGGACGCGCGTGGACAGAGCCCTGGTGAAGTGGACGAGGGGGCACGGACGTGCGTGGACAGAACCCGGGTGAAGTGGATGAGGGGGCATGGACGCGCGTGGACAGAGCCCAGGTGAAGTGGATGAGGGGGCACGGACGTGCGTGGACAGAGCCCCGGGTGAAGTCCAACATTCGAGTGGACGAGGGGGCACGGACGCGCGTGGACAGAGCCCGGGTGAAGTGGATGAGGGGGCACGGACGCGCGTGGACAGAGCCCCGGGAAAAGTCCAACACTCGAGTGGACGAGGGGGCACGGACGCGCGTGGACAGAGCCCGGGTGAAGTCCAACTCTCGGGTGGACGAGGGGGCACGGACGTGCGTGGACAGAGCCCGGGTGAAGTGGATGAGGGGGCACGGACACGCGTGGACAGAGCCGGGTGAAGTCCAACACTCGGGTGGACGAGGGGGCACGGACGCGCGTGGACAGAGCCCTGGTGAAGTGGACAGAGTCCCGGTGAAGTGGATGAGGGGGCACGGACGCGCATGGACAGAGCCCCGGGAAAAGTCCAACACTCGAGTGGACGAGGGGGCACGGACGCGCGTGGACAGAGCCCGGGTGAAGTGGATGAGGGGGCACGGACGCGCGTGGACAGAGCCCGGGTGAAGTCCAACTCTCGGGTGGACGAGGGGGCACGGACGCGCGTGGACAGAGCCCTGGTGAAGTGGACAGAGTCCCGGTGAAGTGGATGAGGGGGCACGGACGCGCATGGACAGAGCCCCGGGAAAAGTCCAACACTCGAGTGGACGAGGGGGCACGGACGCACATGGACAGAGCCCAGGTAAAGTCCAACACTCAAGTGGACGAGGGGGCATGGACGCGCGTGGACAGCAAGTTTTGCAGGAAGCAGGCTGGTTCCCGCCTGGGGTGTGGTCTGCTGGGGGAGAGCAGAGCCGCCCGTGTTGGCCGCTGGACACACAGAGGCCAGGCTGTGTGTCACGTGAGGTTTCAGGGAATGCTTAGGGATGCGAGACCAGAAAAACTGCCTTGTTCCCACCCAACGACTTTGAAACCATAGTAACCAGGAAGGCCTGACTCGTCACCACCCATCCCCTGCTCACATGAGAGGATCCATCCCATAATCAATGCAGCAGAGGACACTGAGTGTCGTGCCGTATACTGGGTGCTGGGGCGTTTACGGGAACTCTGCACGTAGATACAACTCTTGCCCTTAAAAGAAGGCATTCAGAGTAGGCAAGGGGGCTCGTGGAGTGTGTGTGTGTGTGTCCACATGCACTGGCTCACCTCTGGGAGGGTCCCAGCATCCTGCTGTGGCTTTGGTCTGTTGCCCCAGGGAGCCTGCTCTTCTAGCTCCCGAGGTGCCAATCTGGGCTTGGGTGTCTCCGGCCTTCCCTGCAGGGCCGGGTTCCTTGGCCATCAAGACTGTGTAAATGGATTTTCCGCTGAGCTGCTGGTGGGCAGTGGCAATGCCTCAGACCTCCTGTGATCGTCAGCCCTAGCACTGGCCTTCTGTGGCTTGGCCTAATACCCCGACTTGTTCTCCGACCTCATGCTGCCTTCCTGTGGTCTGCTGTCTGTCCCCAGCCTGGTAGCACAGCCACAGGTCCCCCTTCTGCTCCCCTGGGCTCCTGAGCCTCCCGCCCCCCTCGTCACCTCTCCTGGCGGGGGGCTGCCTGCACTGCACAGTGACTTCTGCTAAGGCGGGCCTGGAAGTTCAGTTCATCTACTCCCCACCCACTCAACCCTGCCACCTTTCCTCGCTGTGTTTCCATGGAAATGTCATTAACAATCACGATGTATGGAATGTGGGTCTATTTATTTACAAACTCAGCTCCCTCCAATACAAATTTGCTTTTGAGTTAATTATGTCCCCTCTTCAGAGGGGACAGCGCTGTGGCGCAGTGGGTTAACACCCTGGCCTGAAGCACCGGCATCCCACATGGGCGCCAGTTCTAGTCCCGGCTGCTCCTCTTCCAGTCCAGCCCCCTGCTATGGCCGGGGAAAGCAGTGGAAGATGGTCCAAGCCCTTGGGCCCCTGCACACACATGGGAGACCTGGAAGAAGCTCCTGGCTCCTGGCTTCAGATTGGCGCAGCTCCGGCCATTGTGGCCATCTGGGGAGTGAACCAACGGATGGAAGACCTCTCTCTCTCTCTCTCTCTCTCTCTCTCTCTCTCTCTCTCCTCTCTCTATGTAGCTCTGATTTTCAAATAAATAAGTAAATAAATCCTTAAAAAAATTATGCATCTACAGAGTGCCCAACACATCAGGAGCTCCCAGTGAGTTCACCCGCCCGCAAGGGGACGACGGCTCAGTTCCGAGGGCCCAGGGAAACACCCAGAAGTTGCCACTGTGAGGCCAGGGCACCCACACAGGTCTGCTGGGCCAGGCAGATCCCAGGTCAGATAAAACCGTGAGCCAGTGCTGTGCTCGTGGACCTGGAGGACCGTCCGCATGGAAGGGAGTTCGAAAGGCCGAACATTTCGTGGGTTGAAAACAGAATCTCTGCAAGTTCTAAACATGTTCTGAAAACTACTAATTGAAGAAAAACGCAAAGCAGCACAAAAAGAATGCGTTTTCCTGTAAGGGAGTGAAGTATGCTGATTTCTTTATTCCTCCCAAATCCCTAAGGAGATAAGAAGGGACAGAAATAACCCAAGGAGGAGAGGGAATACCCTAAGAGCATTAGAGAGCGGGATCAGGCAGTCTGGGGCACAGGAGGGCACGCTGGAATGGGGGCAGTGGAAAGCCTGCTGCTGCGGCCTGGTATGTCCAAGTCTGCCCCTCCAGCCCTCGGCCCAGGGTTGGGGCTGTCGGTTTCAGCGGGCTGGTAACAGATGGCACAGTCCAAAGGGTTTAACGGGAACTGAATGAATGAAAGGGCTGTGTATAGACGTGGGCAAGATCAAGTCCACGCACAAGAGGAGCAAGGCACAGAGGCTCACGGCCACAGGCGGTGTGTTCCCATTTGTAGGGGCAAAGGAGGTTAAGGTGCTGCCAGGGCCTGCCTCCAACCCCGGCGTGCAGTGTGTGTGTGTGTGTGTGTGTGTGTGTGAGTGTGTG